CATTTAATTACTTATTAATCGCCCTCCATCCAAGATGCTCTAGGCGATTTACAAACTAAATTGTAAATAATAAAAATACATACATACAGATATTGATAAAATTAACATAGATCAAAAGCTCTAGTAAAAAGCCAGGTCTTAACTGCTAGGGTAAAAGGCCCTAACTCACGCATGGCTCTCATATAGGGCGGCAAGGAATTCCATAGGGCAGGGGCAGAAATAGAAAAAGCTCTGCGTCTGGTCCTTTCCAAGTGCACTTCTCTATATGTCGTATATGCCTACGTGTGTGTATAAATATTCCCAAATCTGAAAAAAATCCAACACTCCTGTAAATATTAAAAATACTATATAATAAGGATTGGTCCTTATTATATAGTATTTTTAATATTTACACTCTTCAGCCACAATTTGCTAATTTGTCTTCAGGTTTACAATCCAGTCTATTCAACCTGTAGTTTTATCCCAGTGTTTGTATTATTTTCAATTTGTATTACAGTCTTCCCTCACTTATTGTGGAGGTTCCATTCCAGGACCACCTGCGATAAGTGAAAATCTGCAAAGTGGAACGCCATATTAATTTTAATATTTATACATTATTTTATATGTATTTTATTACCCGTGCTTCCTTATCTGCCTCCCAGCCCATCCCAAGGGCACCTGCCTGAATCCGTGGTCTCTGCAGAGCCTTCAGAGCCATGCAGGCAGCAGCAGGCCAGGGAGGCAGGCCTTCCCCACCGTGCCTCAGGCCTCCGCACTTTCGGGGTCCCTGGCCTCCCTGGCGTCCACTGGACATAAATATTTAATATTTTTTATTAATATTTCCAAAACCCCACAAAACAGTGAGTCTGCTAAAAGCGAACCGCGAAGTCTGACTTGGCCACGGTAGTCCACGCTCTGGTTACATCCCGTTTAGACTACTGCAACGCTCTCTACGTGGGGTTGCCTTTGAAGACAGCTCAGAAGCTCCAACTAGTCCAACGCTCGGCAGCCATGATTTTAACAGGAGCAGAGCGCAGGGAGCATACAACCCCCCTGTTGCGCCAACTCCACTGGCTACCGATCTGCTACCGGGCTGAATTCAAAGTGCTGGCGTTGGCCTTTAAAGCCCTAAACGGTTCCGGCCCAAGCTACCTATCTGACCGCATCTCTGCCTATGAACCCACCAGGACTTTGAGATCTTCCGGGGAGACCCTGCTCTCGATCCCGCCTGCTTCTCAAGCTCGGCTGGCGGGGACGAGAGATAGGGCCTTCTCGGTGGTGGCTCCTCGGCTGTGGAACGCCCTTCCTACGGACATTAGACTAGCACCATCTCTAATGGTATTCCGCAAAAAGGTGAAGACCTGGATGTTTGTGCAGGCGTTTGAGTAATTTAGTGCAATCTGGTAATGGAACATAGGAATGGAACAATGGACGCCGAACCTGGACTACGCTTGGATGATGAGAAGATTGGGTACAGTTGTTTTTCGTAATAATTGTGCATTGTAATTGCTTATTGGTAATTTATGGATAATGTGTTAAGTCAATTGTTATATGTTGTATGGAACCACTGCTGTTTCTACTGTTTTTACTGTTTGTGAACCGCTGTGAGTCGCCTTCGGGCTTGAGATACAGCGGTATAGAAGCAAAGTAAATAAATAAATAAATAAATAAGTAGCAAGGGAACACTGTAAATTTATTTATTTATTTCTGGTATTTCTACTCCATCTCTTCTCTACCCCTGAAGGGGGATTCAGGACGACTTACATTTGGTAATGGTGCCATGCCACTACATAACAATTCCAATAATATAATATAACCACAATTAAATACATAAAGCAATCATTAAAAACAGTACATAGAGCATGAATTAAAAACAGTAAAACAGTATCATCAGCTATATCTCCATTCCAGTCAATGCCCAACTAAAGTGCTAATGATGTCTGCTGACCAAAAGCCTGTTGGTAAGTGCACACTTTGCCAACAAACTTGAAGCTAGAGGTCAACGTAATGCTTTCATGTTGGGAAAACTTATTTAATGCTTTGGGCGAAGGGCATTTGCTGTCAGTCCAATGCGGTTTCTACCCTGTTAACTTCTGTGGACTTACCTTGGCTTTTACGGAAAGCTCCTGGCTCTTTGGGACTTTGATTTTGATCCTGATTTCTTGGAGACCTTGTCTTGCTGCCATGGATCCTTGTTTATCCAATGCTTAAGGACTATGCTTCATGTTCTATGCCTTTGAAACCTGGATACCTTGCCTTTGCATTTAATACTCTATTTTGCTCAGTGAACTTTACTCCTCTATTTCTCTGTTTTGATTTTGCTTTTTTCTCAATAAACTACAAAATCTACAACCTTGATGGGTGGTGGTGTCTTGGGCAAGGTGAATCTATCCTGAGTTGTGACAGGAACAGGGTGAGCTCCCGTTGTTAAGCCCAGCTCCTGCCAACCTAGCAGTTTGAAAACATGCCAATGTGAGTAGATCAATGGGTTATTTATCTGCAGGAAGGTAACGGCACTCCATGCAGTCATGCTGGCCACATGACCTTGGAGGTGTCTATGGACAATGCTGGCTCTTCAGCTTAGAAATGGAGATGAGCACCACAGTCCTAGAGTGGGATATAAGGAGACCTTTACTTGCTTATTTCTGATTTGAAATTCCAAAACTGGCCGAGAGAGTGAGACCTTTCCTTTGTTTTCTGATGACTCAATGTATTGCTTATTTATTGGATTTACATTTCAACTTTCTCCCAGAACTGGGCTTCAAGGCTCAAATGGGATTCAATGCACCAAATTCTGAAAATATATAATGTATAAACCAAACCTTCGTAGATCTACGGATGGAACAAATCAGGAAATTTGGACCAAAAGCAAGGCGCTGGCTGCTGGAGCTGATGAACAACTGCACTGCATCCTGTCAGATCCCCAAAATCTGGAGGAAAGCAAGAGTCATCGCCATCTTGAAGCCAGGCAAAGACCGTAATGACCCAAAAAGCCATAGACCAATCTCCCTGTTGTGCCACCTCTACAAAGTTCTGGAAATACTTATTTTGCATAGAATTATGGAAAATATAGACCCCTGTCTGATTCCACAGCAAGCTGGCTTCAGAAAAGGCAAAAGCTGCACATCGCAAGTGCTGAACCTGACTCAGCACATAGAAGATGGCTTTGAAAGGCAGCAGATCACAGGAGCTGTCTTCATAGACTTGTCAGCAGCCGATGATACTGTGAACCACCGCCTCCTCCTGAGAAAAATGTATAACATCACAAAGGATGACCACCTCACCCGCCTCATAGGAAACCTGCTACAAAACAGGAGCTTTTTTGTTGAGTTCCAGGGCCAGAGAAGCAGATGGCAGAAACAGAAGAACGGCCTGCCTCAGGGGAGCGTGCTTGCTCCATCCATGTTCAACATCTACACAAATGACCAGCCACTGCCAGAAGGGACAGAGAGTTTCATCTATGCTGATGATCGTGCCATCACCGCTCAAGCAGGGAGATTTGAGATGGTAGAACAGAAGCTCTCCGAAGCTCTAGGTGCTTTTACTGCCTAAAACAGGGAAAACCAACGGATCCCTAATCCATCTAAAACACAGACATGTGCCTTTCATCTCAAGAACAGACAAGCATCCCAAGCTCTGAGGATCACCTGGGAAGGAATCCCACTGGAGCATTGCAGCGCACCCAAATACCTGGGAGTCACTCTGGACCGTGCCCTGACCTACAAGAAGCACTGCCTGAACATCAAGCAAAAAGTGGGCGCTAGAAACAATATCATACAAAAGCGGACTGGCACAACCTGGGGATCACAACCAGACACAGTGAAGACATCTGCCCTTGTACTATGCTACTTTGCTGTAGATGTGGCTCTTAATGAGACATGCCGCATTATCACAGGGTATCTGCGCCCTACACCACTGGAGAAATTACACTGCTTAGCCGGTATTGCACCACCTGACATCCGCCGGGAAGTAGCAGCCAATAGTGAAAGGACCAAGGCAGAGACATCTCCAGCTCATCCCCTGTTTGGGTATCAGCCAGCACGTCAACGGCTTAAATCAAGACATAGTTTTCTTAGATCTACAGAGACACTCGCTGGAACACCTCAGCAAGCGAGAGTCCAAAAGTGGCAGGCCCAAACCCAGCACCTCAATCCGTGGGTGATACCAGATGAGAGACTCCCTCCTGGGCACACAGAAGACTGGGTGACTTGGAAGGCGCTGAACAGACTGCGCTCTGGCACCACGAGATGCAGAGCCAACCTTCAGAAATGGGGCTACAAAGTGGAATCCACGGCATGCGAGTGTGGAGAAGAGCAAACCACTGACCACCTGCTGCAATGCAACTTGAGCCCTGCCACATGCACAATGGAGGACCTTCTTGCAGCAACACCAGAGGCACTCCAAGTGGCCAGATACTGGTCAAAGGACATTTAATCAACTACCAAGTTTGCAAAATCTGTGTGTTTTTAAAATCTGTGTGTTTGTTTTGTTCTGTTAGAAATGTAATACAATGGTATGGTTGCTGATGACACGATAAATAAATACCAAACCTTGGAATATCGCTCAAAATGACATGAATGCTATGTTTCTTGTGTGCCTTGTTGTAGGCCAGGCCTTGAAGGCCTGGCCTACAACAAGGCACACAAGAAACATAGCATTCATGTCATTTTGAGCGATATTCCAAAATATAACACAAATCATCATGATTAGAGATGACGCGTGTCATGCAAAACACGTTTCAGGCACGCTGACGCGCATTCACACGTGCAAAGTTACCTGAGGAAGAGCTCCGGTCGGGCTGTGGCGGAACTCAGCACATCCAAACAGGACTTCAGCCTCCCAGCCGATGCTGAGGCCTCCATGCTTCCTCCTCTTCCTTCTTTGGCAACACGTGCCGGCCCTATTTCGATGCTTCACCTCAGGTCCGTTTTCAAAACGCTCCGGCCGGAAACACGTTCCCCGGCGCAGAAAGGTTCCGCAGCGGCTCCGTTTCTGCCGCTTCTCCCCTTCCAGCCAGTCCGCTGTTGTTTCTCCTTTTCTGACCCTAGCGGGCCACCGTTGCCAGTTCTTTCCTTTGGCTTCACCGCCGTTCTGAAGAAGGCTGGAGCTGCCAGGTTTCAAAATGGCGGCCCTCAGGCTGACACTCAGATCAGGTATGGGCCCACGCTGTGGAAGTGATGCGGTTTGGCACCGCTTTAACCGCCCTGGCTCAATGCTGTGGCATCCTGGGAGTTGCAGTCTGTCCTATTTATTTCTCGTGTCAGGGCAACCAGTCGATTATATTACATTTGTAACAGAACAAAGCAAACAAACAGGCAAAATACAACATGTGTGAGTTTGGTAGTTGATTAAATGTCCTTTGACCAGTATTTGGCCACTTGGAGTGCTTCTGGTGTTGCTGCAAGAAGGTCCTCCATTGTGCATGTGGCAGGGCTCAGGTTGCATTGCAGCAGGTGGTCAGTGGTTTGCTCCTCTCCGCACTCGCGTGTCGAGGATTCCACTTTGTGGCCCCATTTCTCAAGGTTGGCTCTGCATCTTGTGGTGCCAGAGCGCAGTCTGTTCAGCGCCTTCCAAGTCGCCCAGTCCTCTGTGTGCCCAGGGGGGAGTCTCTCATTTGGTATCAGTTCTGGGTTTGAGCCTGCCATTTTTGGACTCTCGCTTGCTGAGGTGTTCCAGCGAGTGTCTCTGTAGATCTTAGAAAACTATTTCTAGATTTAAGTCGTTGACATACTGGCTGATACCCAAACAAGGGATGAGCTGGAGATGTCTCTGCCTTGGTCCTTTCACTATTGGCTGCTACTTCCCGGCGGATGTCAGGTGGTGCAATACCGGCTAAGCAGTGTAATTTCTCCAGTGGTGTAGGGCGCAGACACCCCGTGATAATGCGGCATGTCTCATCAAGAGCCACATCCACTGTTTTAGTGTGGTGAGATGTGTTCCACACTGGGCATGCATACTCAGCAGCAGAGTAGCACAGCGCAAGGGCAGATGTCTTCACTGTGTCTGGTTGTGATCCCCAGGTTGTGCCAGTCAGCTTTCGTATGATATTGTTTCTAGCACCCACTTTTTGCTTGATGTTCAGGCATTGCTTCTTGTAGGTAAGAGCACGGTCCAGAATGACTCCCAGGTATTTGGGTGCGCTGCAATGCTCCCGTGGGATTCCTTCCCAGGTCATCCTCAGAGCTCGGGATGCTTCTCTGTTCTTGAGATGAAAGGCACATGTCTGTGTTTTAGATGGGTTAGGGATCAGCTGGTTTTCCCTGTAATAGGCAGTAAGAGCACCTAGAGCTTCGGAGAGCTTCTGTTCAACCATCTCAAAGCTCCCTGCTTGAGCAGTAATGGCACGATCATCAGCATAGATGAAGCTCTCTGTCCCTTCTGGCAGTGGCTGGTCATTTGTGTAGATGTTGAACATGGATGGAGCAAGCACGCTCCCCTGAGGCAGGTCGTTCTTCTGTTTCCGCCATCTGCTTCTCTGGCCCTGGAACTCAACAAAAAAGCTCCGGTTAGATTACGGCAACGCTCTCTACGTGGGGTTGCCTCTGAAGACTGCCCGGAAGCTGCAGCAAGTCCAACGCTCGGCAGCCAGACTACTAACGGGTGCTGGGTACAGGGAGCACACCACTCCGCTGTTACACCAGCTCCACTGGCTGCCAATTAGCTTCCGAGCACAATTCAAAGTGCTGGTGTTAACCTATAAAGCCCTAAACGACTCCGGCCCTGTTTACCTCTCCGAACGTATTCTCCCCTATGAACCATCAAGATTACTAAGATCATCTGCTCTCGGTCCCACCGGCCCTGCTCTCGGTCCCACCGGCCTCACAAGCGCGCCTGGTGGGGACGAGGGACAGGGCCTTCTCGGTGGTGGCCCCGCAACTGGAACTCTCTCCCACTGGAGGTCAGAACCGCCCCGTCTATCCTGACATTCAGGAAACGGGTGAAGATGTGGTTGTGGAGACAGGCTTTCGATGAATGAGACAGCACCCTAGGATTGTGGGTGGAAGATGAGGTATACTTGTTTTTAATATGACGACTGACCACCGTAATTTTAAATATAGTTGTTATTTTAAATGTGTTATTGTAATTATGAACTATGATATTTTACTGATTGTATGTTTTTATGGTTGTAAACCAGGCTGGGTCCCTCTAAGAGGTAAGAAGCTCGGTATAGAAAACTTTGAAATAAATAAATAAATAAATACATTTTGTAGCAGGTTTCCTATGAGGCGGGTGAGGTGGTAATCCTTTGTGATATTATACTTTTTTTCTCAGGAGGAGGCGGTGGTTCACAGTATCATAAGCTGCGGACAGGTCTATGAAGACAGCTCCTGTGATCTGCTGCCTTTCAAAGCCATCTTCTATGTGCTGAGTCAGGTTCAACACTTGCGATGTGCAGCTTTTGCCTTTCTTGAAGCCTGCTTGCTGTGGGATCAGACAAGGGTTTAGTTTTTCCGCAATTCTATGCAAAATAAGTCTCTCCAGAACTTTATAGAGGTGGCACAACAGGGAGATTGGTCTGTAGCTTTTTGGGTCATTACGGTCTTTGCCTGGCTTCAAGATGGCGATGACTCTTGCTTTCCTCCAGATTTTGGGGATCTGACAGGATGCAGTGCAGTTGTTCATCAGCTCCAGCAGCCAGCGCCTTGCTTTTGGACCAAAGTTCTTGATTTGTTCCATCCGTAGGTCATCCAGGCCAGCTGCTTTGCCATTTTTACATTTATTGAGAGCCATGTCCAATTCAGTAGATGTAAAGGGTCCATGAAGGTTGTTGTTCTCAATCTTTGGTTGTCTGGCTATTGGTTTCTTTCCTACTTTAGTGGCAAAATTGGGTTTCCCATTCTTCAAGAGTTGGTGTGCTATCTGGTCTGCCTTTATGTTGGCATGGGTATTAGTTTGTGAGGGGTCGTTGCTCAGCCGTCTCAGCAGCCTCCACGCCTTCTGGCTGCTCCTGCCCATGTCGACCTCTGTGATCAGCTTGATCTGTCCTTCTATGGCAGGGAAGGCCCTTTGAGGGAACTAAAACACCCAAGAGCCCATAAAAGTGAGCCAAGGCGGTTAAAGTGGAGCCAAACTGGATTAATTCTGCAGTGTAGGTGTATTGCCTTTAGTATTTCTTACTATTTCCAGTGTGGCTACCTTTATTTAGTGTATTATTGGGTCAGGTGTTTATTCCTGACCTCTTTGAGGACTAGAAACTTGAAAGCCTTGAATGCTTTATGAATTAAAGGATATCTATCTATATAAATAAAAATGTAATGTTCATTTGTGGGATAAACAGAACTCAAAAACCACTGGACAAATTGATACCAAATTTGGACACAAGGCACCTAACAACCCAATGTATGTCCTTCACTCAAAAAATTGATTTTGTCATTTGGGAGTTGTGGTTGCTGGGATTTATAGTTCACCTACAATCAAAGAGCATTCTGAACCCCACCAACGATGGAATTGAACCAAACTTGGCACACAATTCTCCCATGACCAAACAGAAAATACTGGAAGGGTTTGGTGGGCAGCGTCCTTTGGTTTTGGAGTTGTAGTTCACCTGCATCCAAAGATCACTGTGGACTCAAACAGTGATGGATCTGGACCAAACTCTACATGAATACTCAATATGCCCAAATGTGAACACTGGTGGAGTTTGAGGAAAATAGAATCTTGACATTTGGGAGTTGTAGTTGCTGGGATCTATGGTTCACCTACAATCCCAGAGCATTCTGAACCCCACCAACGATAGAATTGGGCCAAACCTCCCACACAGAACCTCCATGACCACCAGAGTGGGCCACAGCAACATGTGTCAGGGGACAGCTAGTATCTATATAAATAAAAATGCAATGTTCGTTTGTGGTATTAATGTAACTCAAAAACCACTGGACGAATTGACAACAAATTTGGACACAATACACCGATCAGGCCAATGAGTGACCATCACTCATAAAAACACTGAAAAACAGTGGAAGAAACTTTAAAAGCCAAAAAAATAAAAAATACATTACAACGCATGCGTAAAACCATATATATACAGATATGTACACACACAAAACACATATACACAGACTGGGCCACAGCAATTTGTGGCAGGGGACAGATAGTCTATTTAAATAAAAATGTAATGTTCGTTTGTGGGATTAACTCAAAAACCACTGGACAAATTGACACCAAATTTGGACACAAGACACCAATCAGGCCAACAACAGAAGAGACTTAAAAGCCAAAAAACAAAAAATACATTACAACACATATGCAAAACCAGACACACACACACACACACACATGCAAACACACATAAACACATATACACAGACTGGTCCACAACAACGTGTGGCGGGGGACGGCTAGTATACACACACATATACATATACATGTATATATGTGTGTGTGTGTGTGAACTTGCTGACCAAAAGGTTGGTGGATCGAATTCAGGGAGTGGGGTGAGCTCCCACAGTTAGGCCCAGCTTCTACCAACCTAGCAGTTCGAAAACATGCAAATTTGAGTAGATCAATAGGTACCACTCTGTGGGAAGGTAACAGCACTCCATGCAGTCATGCTGGCCAAATGACTTAGGAGGTGTCTACGGACAACATGGGCTCTTCAGCTTAGAAATGGAGATGAGTGCCAGAGTCCCAGGGTCAGACATGACTAGATTTAATGTCAGTGGAAACCTTGACCTTCGCCTATGGTATGAGCCACTTTCGTGTCTCAATTAAATGATAAAATGGCATAGAAATTATTATTATTAGTAATAGTCGCCCTAGGGCTGAGAGTGGCGGTCAATAAGTGCAAATAATAAATAAATAAATAAATATTATTATTATTATTATTATTATTATTATTACAACAATATGAGTCCATAACAAGGTCATTCTGCTGGCTGTTGTATTGGATCACACGTCGGACACTTGCCAAGTGTCTAGGACTGTGTGATGTATCGGCAAATAATGCGTGCAGATCCCAGTAAGGTGGCCTTCTGCAGCTGGCAGATGGTAATCTTGTCAGTGCGATTGTGTTTAAGTGCAGGCCAAGGTCTTTAGATACTGCACCCAGTGTGCCGATCACCACTGGGACCACTTTGACTGGCTTGTGCCAGAATCTTTGCAGTTCGATCTTTAAATCCTCATATCATGTCAGCTTTCCCAGTTATTATTATGATTACTATGGAGCCCCCAGTGGCGCAGTCGGTTAAACCCCTGTGCCGGCAGTACTGAAGACCGACAGGTTGCAGGTTCAAATCCGGGGAGAGGCGGATGAGCTCCCTCTATTAGCTCCAGCCACGAAAGTGGCTCATACCATAGGCAAAGGTCAAGGTTTCCACTGACATTAAATCTAGCCATGTCTGACCCTGGGACTCTGGTGCTCATGTGGAGACATGAGAGAAGCCTCCCACAAGGATGATAAAACATCAAAAATCATCCAGGCGTCCCCTGGGTAACGTCCTTGCAGATGGCCAATTCTCTCACAACAGGAGCGGTTGGTCCTGACACGACAAAAAAAATTATGATTACTATTTAATGCTGTGAGCCACTTTGTTTCTCCATAGAGAGATACAAATAGGATATAAATAAATGTCATTATTATTATTATTATTATTTAATGTGAGCCATGTTGTTTCTAAATTGGGGAATAAAATGGGATATGAATTATTATTATTATTATTTAATGTTATGAGCCGCTTTGTTTCTGAATAGAGAAATACAAGTGGGATATGTAATAATAATAATAGTAATAATAATAGTATCGTAATCGTAATAATGATGCAACACCATTGCTCAGAAGATCCATTGGAACTTGTCCCACAGATACCATGTGCTTGCAACAAAGAACTGGTGGGATCATGAGCCTGAAAAAGTTACGGAAAATGAACACGTCAAACTACTCTGGGACTTCCAAATTCAGACTGATAGAGTTTTGGAGCACAAGACTCCTGCCCTCATGATCATGGAAAAGAACAAAAGATTGTTGATGTTGCAATCCCAGGCGACAGCAGAATTGACGAGAAGCAACTGGAAAAGCTGACACAATATGAGGATTTAAAGATCGAACTGCAAAGACTCTGGCACAAGCCAGTCAAGGGGGTCCCAGTGGTGATTGGCACACTGGGTGCAGTGCCTAAAGACCTTGGCCTGCACTTAAACACAATCGGCGCTGACAAAATTTCCATCTGCACAAGGCCACCCTGCTTGGATTTGCATGCATTATTTGCTGATACATCACACAGTCCTAGACACCTGGGAAGTGTCTGATGTGGGATCCAATACAACAGCCAGCAGAGTGATCTTATTTGTTGTGTACTCAAATCTTGTTATGTGTCAAATAATAATAATAATAATAATAATAATAATAATAATAATAATAATAATAATATATCCCCCCCAAAAGTGTCCGACGTGATCCAATTCAACAGCCAGCAGAGTGTCTGCTGTGGACTCATCTTGTTGTGTTTCAAATAATAATAATAATAATAATAATAATAATATATTTATTTATTTCTTGCCCGCCTCTCCTCACTTTAATAATAATAATAATTATTATTATTTACGGCAGGAATCCATGGGGAGGTCTATTGCCGAATAGGCAGGTTCTGTGCAAACCCTTTGGTGCGGATTAGCTCCTGGCTTTATATAATAGTCGCTGATATAATTCTCTCCCATCTAACCCCATTTTTGAAAGCTTTAGGGGAAAAGATTAAGGTTGTGCATTTAATTCAAAATAAAGGAGTAAACCATGAAAAGATATAAACAGAGAGAAACAGAGGATAGAAGAAAAAAGGCATGGAGAAATTACATTATTATTATTACTATTATTACTTCTTGTGATCTGGCCTCCTCGGCAATGTAGATGATATATTGAGAGGCAGAGCAAGCGCAAAGTCTGCCAAAAGCGAGCGACTTTGAACAATCCTCTTTGGTTTCTATTTATTCCTCCGGTGGTGAAATCCCAGCTTCTACGAAAACCTCTGCAGCATTATAACAATTCCTTTTTCCCCTGAAAGATGGGATTAAACACAGACAGAGAGATGTGATCTTCCTATCGTTCAAACACAGCATGGAAGCAGCAGACATTGTGCTTTGGTTGCAGTTTTTATAAGAATATGCTGCATTAAATGGAGGATATTTTTCTCCCAAGTCTATCTAACTGAACTTTTATACGGAATGTGTGGAAATTTGCAAAAATGAAAGGCAGAGGAATGCCTTCTAGGGTGCATCGACTCTTCAGAAGAAATGCAGCTTGACACCACTTTAATTGCCGTGTCTCAATGGTATTGAAACCCGGGAGTTGTAGTTTGGGGAGGCATCAGCACTATATTTCAGAGAAAAGCCTTGTGAAACTTCAACTCCCATGACTCTATGGCAGTTAAAGTGGCATCCATCTGCATTAACCCTACAGTGTAGACCGGTGTTTCTCAATCTGGGGGTCAGGACCCCTAGGGGGGTCACGAGGGGGTGTCAGGGGCCCCACTAAAGACCATCAGAAAACACAGTAATTTCTGGTCATGGGGGATCTGTGTGGGAAGTCTGGCCAATTCTATCGTTGGTGGGATTCAGAATGCTGTTTGATTGTAGGTGAACTATAAATCCCAGCAACTACAACTCCCAAATGACAAAATCATAATTTTTTGAGTGATGGTCACTCCTTGTCTTGTGAGACGTTTTGTGGCTAAATTTGGTGCGATTTCGTTCATTAGTTTTTGAATTATGTTAATCCCACAAACATTTTTATTTATATAGATATACTAGCCATCCCCTGCCATGCGTTGCTGTGGCCCAGTCTGTGTATATGCACTTTGTGTGTGTATATTTTTATTGTATATGTGTATATATGTGTGTGTGTATTTGCGTATATATGTGGTTTTTACACATGCAGTGTAATGTAATTTTTGTTTTTTGGATTTTTTAAGTCTCTTCTGCTGTGTTTTTTTAGTGTTTTTATGATGCTCATTTGTTGACCTGTTAGGTATATTGTGTCCAAATTTGATGTTAATTCGCCCAGTGGTTTTTGAGTTATGTTAAATCCACAAACGAACATTACATTTTTATTTGTTTTACTGCTTTGCCTACTTGTATTCTTCAATAAACTGCTTGCTGGTTTTACCAAGCTGATGTGGAATTTAAAGTCAGAGGTGTTCCTGTTCTGATGTTTGACATGGCTGGAGTTACACTTTAAAATGGACCTGTTCTGACTTACAAACAAAGAACAACCCTGCATAAGCTCTCTTGTTTGTAACTTGGGGACGGTCTGGGCCCTTTCCTTTTATCTCCCTCCAGGACTCCTCCCCTGGTTCCTCAAAGTGGATCTAGTGCCACGAGCACTCTCTAGTTCTGCCTCGATGTCCCAAAGGACGGCACCTCCTTCGTGGAAGCTGGGACACCTCAACCATGTGGCCATTGCGGTGCCCGACTTGGAGAAGGCTGCCCGTTTCTACCGGGATGTCCTAGGGGCTCGTGTCAGCGGCACCGTCCCTCTCCCCGAACACGGCGTCAGCACCATCTTCGTGGAACTGGGCAACACCAAGATTGAGCTGCTGCATCCCTTGGGCGAGAAGAGCCCCATTGCCGGGTTCCTGCAAAAGAACAAGACCGGAGGGATGCACCACATCTGCATCGAGGTACTGTGAAATCTCCCTTGCGTTGTCTCCATCATGACATTTCAAGCTCACAATGTTCCCCTAGATGTGAAAGAACCAAATAAGAAGTGGAAGTCTCAGCCGCTGGGCATAGGGAGAGAAAGCAACTATGTCCCCTTCCACACAGCTGTTTAAAATCCAGATTATCTGCTTTGCACTGGATTTTGCACCTTTATCTCAGAAACCAATCCCAGATTATCTGATTTAAACTGGAATATATGAGTACCCACTGTCAGATAACTTGGGATAAACAGATGATCTGGGATCAATTTCTGAGTTAAAGGGCAGTGTGGAAAAACTCCGAGTCTACACTGCCACTTTACTGTATCTTCTAGTGCAATTAAGCCTCACTTTCGTCCCTCTGATCCTCTGTCTAGATACACTACATGGCCTGCTTACCCAGTGTTCAAATCTTGTAATCCTTGCAACTCACTCTGCCCAATTACTGTGACCTTATAGTTGGTGTGTATATTTATACTGTTTTTGTATATTATTATTATTATTATTATTATTATTATTATTATTATTATTATTAGCTGTCCCCTGCCACGGGTTGCTGTGGCCCACATGGGGGTTCTGTGTGGGAGGTTTTGCCCAATTCCATCGTTGGTGGGGTTCAAAATGCTCTTTGATTGCAGGTGAACTATAAATCCCAGCAACTACAACTCCCAAATGTCGAGATTCCATTTTTCCCAAACTCAATTCAAGAGAGATATTGACAAGCTGGAATGTGTCCAGAGGAGGATGACTAAAATGATCAAGGGTCTGGAGAACAAGCCCTATGAGGAGCGGCTTAGGGAACTGGGCATGTTTAGCCTGAAGAAGAGAAGGCTGAGAGGAGATATGATAGCCATGTATAAATATGTGAGAGGAAGCCACAGGGAGGAGGGAGCAAGCTTGTTTTCTGCTTCCTTGGAGACTAGGACGCGGAACAATGGCTTCAAACTACAAGAGAGGAGATTTCATCTGAACATTAGGAAGAACTTCCTGACTGTGAGAGTCGTTCAGCAGTGGAACTCTCTGCCCCGGAGTGTGGTGGAGGCTCCTTCTTTGGAAGCTTTTAAGCAGAGGCTGGATGGCCATCTGTCAGGGGTGATTTGAATGCAGACCTGGATAGCCCGCAGGTCTCTTCACACGCAATAACACTAAAACTTGGCACTAGCCAACTACAACTCCCAATTGTCAAGATTCTATTTTCCCGAAACTCTACCAGTATTTACATTTGGACATATTGAGTATTCGTGTAGAGTTTGGTCCAGATCCATCATTGTTTGAGTCCACAGTGATCTCAGGATGTAAGTGAACTACAACTCCAAAACCAAAGGACACTGCCCACCAAACCCTTCCAGTATTTTCTGTTGGTCATGGAAGAACTGTGTGCCAAGTTTGGTTTAATTCCATCGTTGGTGGGGTTCAAAATGCTCTTTGATTGCAGGTGAACTATAAATCCCAGCAACTACAACTCCCAAATGGCTGTGCTCACAAATGTAACTTAGAAAAAGGAGACAAAGGAAAACCTGGTTCTGGCAGCCCAAGAACAAGCTATTCGAACCAAGGCCATCAAAGCCAGAATTGAAAAGTCGACGGTGGATTCCAAATGTAAACTCTGCAAGGAAGCAGATGAAACAACAGATCCCATCCTCAGCTGCTGCAAGAAGATCTCGCAGACAGACTACAAGCAGAGGCACAACACCGTTGCTCAGATGATTCATTGGAACCTGTGCCACAAATCCCATCTTCCTGTGACAAAGAACTGGTGGGATCACAAGCCGGAAAAAGTTACAGAGAATGAACACGCCAAACTCCTCTGGGACTTCCGAATTCAGACAGACAGCATAATACTCCTGACCTCATGATTGTGTTAAAAAACAAAGTCAATGTGGATCGTCGATGTTGTAATCCCAGGCAATAGCAGGATTGAAGAGAAACAACTGGAAATGCTGACATGATATGAGGATTTAAAGATCGAACTGCAAAGACTCTGGCACAAGCCAGTCAAAGGGGTCCCAGTGGTGATCAGCACACTGGGTGCAGTGCCTCAAGAGCCTTCTCCTCTGTGGCCCCCTGACTCTGGATCTCATTGTCCGGAGAGATTAGGAAAGCCCCTACCTTAGAAAACTTTTGGGTAATATGGCTGTGTGGAACCTACCTTAGAATTTCAAGACCTGGCTCTGTCGTTGCGCTTAGAATCATAGAATAGAATGAAAGAGTTGGAAGAGACCTCATGGGCCATCCAGTCCAACCCCATTCTGCCAAGAAGCAGGAATATTGCATTCAAATCACCCCTGACAGATGTCCTCTGTTTAAAAGCTTCCAAAGAAGGAGCCTCCACCACACTCCGGGGCAGCGAGTTCCACTGCTGAACAGCTCTCTTGGAGAGTAGTCACATAATCTTAAGCTATTGCTCCCCTCAACGTTCTTGTCCTAGGAGTACACCCCTCTCCCTTGACGAAGGTGTGTCTATCACCCTGTCTCTCTACAAGTTTTCCCTTACAAATAATTCTGCTCCTTTATCTCACCCTGAGATTTTAAATCATTTTATGTACATGCAGCCTGCTCACTGTCATTATGTTTGGTTTACTAATTTTTAATGTTTTCTGTATATTGCTTAATGTATTTATATGTTTTGTACTTTACTGCGATGTTGTTTATTTTATTGTAACTTGTATTTTATTTTATTGTAATTTGTTGTTTGGGCTTGGCCTCATGTAAGCTGCCTCAAGTTCCCATTAGGGGAGATGGTGGCGGGATACAAATAAAGTTTATCATCATCATCATCATCATCATCATCATTATTATAGAGACCTTGGTCTGCACTTAAATACAATCAGCGCTGGCAAGATTACCATCTGCCAGCCGCAAAAGGCCACCTTACTGGGATCTGCACGCATTATTCGCCATTACACCACACAGTCCTAGACACTTGGGAAGTGTCCGACATGTGATCCAATTCAACAGCCAACAGAGTGATCTTGTTTGCTATGGACTCATCTTGTTGTATTTCTAATAATGATAATGATAATGTTAATAATAATAATAATAAATTTGCTGATATATCACACTGTCCTGGACACTCGGACGTGTCCGACGTGTGATCCAATTCAACAGCCAGCAGAGTGATCTTGTTTGCTGTGGACTCATCTTGTTGTGTTTCCAATAATAATAATAATAATAATAATAATAATGGGTGCCACCTTGACGCATTATTTGCCTATACATCACACAGTCCTAGACATTTGGGCAAGGTCCGATGTGGGATTGAATACAACGGCCAGCATAGGGATCTTGTTTGCTGTGCACGAATCTTGTTGTCTATCATGTAATAATAATGATGATGTTGATGTCTTGGAAGGAAGGGCTTAGAAAGAGGACAAAAAAACCACACATGCAGAAAGCAACAATACTTACATGTACATAAACACAGAGAAAAATTACATTACGCAACACGCGCCTCTGTTCTAATTACATAGAACTCTAAATGGTTTTCTCTCTTCCTGTTAATGCCATCTTCCCTTGTTTTTCCTTTCCAAGGTGGATAACATTACCGAGGCCATGGCAGAACTGAAGGAGAAGAAGATCCGGCTGTTGAGCGAAGAGCCCCGAATTGGAGCCCATGGGAAGCCGGTGGTTTTCCTCCATCCGAAGGACTGTGATGGGGTCTTGGTGGAGCTTGAGGAGGCCTAAGCTGTGGTCCTAACGGCGGAAGCAAATAATGCCCATCATGATGTGATTTATGGCACTAATTTGGGACCATGTATACACCTGAATCCGATTGGTACTCCCATTGACTGTGGGGCTTATCTATGTGTTGATTCCCCACTCAACAGTGGGTTCAGTGGCCTTGCTCTGCTACAGGATTCCAATCCATTCTTTATATTTTTGACACTAATTCAGGGCACAAATTGCCCGTTGGGGACTCACCCACAGGAATCCAGTCCATTCTGTGTGTTGTTGTTTGAATCATGACTTTGCTTTCCTCATTCAGGATGGAACAATATCCCTGACGATACCATCTGCAATTAAAAAAGGAAGATTTAAATAATTTGTTCTGTTTGTGCCTTGAAGCGATTTGTTGACATATGTCAACCCCATGGATTTCATGGGGTTTTTTTAGAATCCTTCCACACAGCCATATAACCCAGAATATCAAGACAGATAATCCACAATATCTACTTTGAACTGGGTTACCTGAATCCACACTGCCATATAACCGAGTTCAATGTCAGTTTTATACAGCTGTGTGGAAGGGGCCTCAGGCAAGGAAGCCATAGGCTGAATCTGCACTACTATGTAATATAGTAAAATAATAAATGTAAGAATAATAATAATAATAATAATAATAATAATAATAATAGATTAAAATAATGGAAATGTAATAATAACATTAATTATAGGGTAAAAATTAATTTAATAATAAGAATAGAGTAAAATAATAAATGTAATAATAATAATAATAATAATAATAATAAAGTAACATAATAAATGTATATGTTTATATCTGTTTTATTATAATATGTGTATTTAATAGTGTCATGTTTTTGTTAATGTTCTGCTTTGTTATGAGTTGTTTATTTTTGCATTGTATTGTTGTTGTGTTTTAGTTGATGATGTACTTTGGGCTCAGCCTCTTGTAAGCCGCACCGAGTCCTGCGGGAGATGGTAGTGGGGTACAAATAAAGGATTATTATTATTATTATTATTATTATTATTATTATTATTTATGCTTGTTTTACTCTGTTGTTGGCACTGTGCTGTGCCGGTTGGTAGCCGCTCCTGAGTCCCTCTGTAATAACAATAATAAAAATAATAGAGTAAAATAATAAATGTAATAATAATAATAATAGAGTAAAATAATGGAAACCTAATAATAACGGTAATATTAGAGTAAAAAAGTAATGTAATAATAATAATAGAGTAAATAATGTACATCTAATAATAACAGTAATAATAGAGTAAAATAATAAATGTAATAATAACAATAATAAAGTAGCATAATAAATGTAATAAAAATAATAGAGTAAAATAATGTACATGTAATAGTAATAGGATAAAATAATAAATGTAATAATAATAATAATAATAATAGATTAAAATAATGGAAACATAATAATAACAGTAATTGTAGAGTAAAAATGTAATAACAACAATAGAGTAAAACAAGAAATATAATAATCATAATAATGTAACAATAAATGAAATAAAGTATAGAGTAAAATAATGTAAATGTAAGAACAATAATAATAATAACAGAGTAAAATAATAAATAACTGAGGGGCCTTATACTCGAGTATACACAGTAATATATTTCTGTTAGCCAGGTACATAGTTTAATGCCATTTATTAGAAACTAGCTGTGCCCTGCCACGCGTTGCTGTGGCCTATAGTAAAACTTATCAAAGTTGAGGTAGAGAGGTACTTACCTATTCCTTCCCCCTTTTCCTCCCCCTTTCTCTCCTTTCTTCCTTCTCTACCTCTTTCTTTCTTTCCTTCTTCACTACTTGGTTTCATCCTTCTCTCTTTCCTTCATTCCCTCCCCGTTTCTTCCTTTGCCTTTCTTCCCTCCCTGTTTGCTTCCTTCTTTCACTTTTTATTTCCTTTTATTTCACCACCATCATAACAATAACAATAATGCAATGCATTGCCTCTGGGACCTGACACCTCTCCCATTCCCACAAGGGTCTCATAGGAATAATAATAGCATAATAATAATAGAAATAACAACCTTTACCCGCCACATGTCCTTCTTTCCCTCCTTCCTTCCTTCCTTCCCTCCCATCTTTCCTTCTCCTCTTCCTTCTTTATCTCTTCCTTCCTTCCCCCTTTTTCTTTCTCTTCTGGTCTCTTTTCTTCCTTCTCTCTTTCCTTCTTTCCTTCCCCCTCTTTCTCTACATCTTCTCCCTTCCTTCACTCCCTCTTTCCTTCCTTCATTCCCTTTTTTCTTTCCTTCTCTCCTTCCTTCCCCTTTTTCTTTCTCTTCTGGTCTCTTTTCTTCCTTCTCTCTTTCTTCTTTCCTTCCCTCCCTCTTTCTCTACATCTTCCCCCTTCCTTCACTTCCTCTTTCCTTCCTTCCTTCCTTCCTTCCTTCCTTCCTTCCTTCCCCCTTTTTCTTTCCCTCCCTCTGTCTCTCAGTTCTTCCTTCTCTACCTCTTTCCTTCCTTCCCCATTTTTCTTTCTCTTTTGCTGTCTCTCTTTCCTCTCCCATCTTTCCTTTTCTTTCCTTTTCTTCTTCCTTCTTTCTCTAACTTTCCTTCCTTCCCCCTTTTTCTTTACCTCCCTTTCTCTTTCTTCTTCTTTCCTTCCTTCCTATCTTTCCTGGATTTTGACAGGGCGGGAAGGGGCGTGGTGGGGTTTGGAGGTGGCGTGAAGTAAAAGGAGGTAAGATTGGGGCAGGGGAGTGATGGAGCGTGGGGTTGTGTGTGTGTGTGCGGCGGCGGGGGGAGTGGGGTTGCGTGTGTGTGTGCGGCGGCGGGGGGAGTGATGGAGCGTGGGGTTGCGTGTGTGTGTGCGGCGCGGGGGAGTGATGGAGCGTGGGGTTGCGTGTGTGTGTGCGGCGGCGGGGGGAGTGATGGAGCATGGGGTTGCGTGTGTGTGTGCGGCGGCGGGGGGAGTGATGGAGCGTGGGGTTGCGTGTGTGTGTGCGGCGGCGGGGGGAGTGGGGTTGCGTGTGTGTGTGCGGCGGCGGGGGGAGGATGGAGCGTGGGGTTGCGTGTGTGTGTGCGGCGGGGGGAGTGATGGAGCGTGGGGTTGCGTGTGTGTGTGCGGCGGCGGGGGGAGTGGGGGGGGTGGGGTTGCGTGTGTGCGTGCGGCGGCGGGGGAAGTGATGGAGCGTGGGGTTGCGTGTGTGTGTGCGGCGGCGGGGGAGTGATGGAGCGTGGGGTTGCGTGTGTGTGTGCGGCAGCGGGGGGAGTGATGGAGCGTGGGGTTGCGTGTGTGTGTGCGGCGGGGGGAGTGATGGAGCGTGGGGTTGCGTGTGTGCGTGCGGCGGGGGGGGAGTGATGGAGCGTGGGGTTGCGTGTGTGTGTGCGGCGGCGGGAGGAGTGATGGAGCGTGGGGTTGCGTGTGTGTGTGCGGCGGCGGGGGAGTGATGGAGCATGGGGTTGCGTGTGTGTGTGCGGCGGCGGGGGGAGTGATGGAGCGTGGGGTGGGGTTGCGTGTGTGTGTGCGGCGGCGGGGGGAGTGGGGTTGCGTGTGTGTGTGCGGCGGTGGGGGAGTGATGGAGCGTGGGGTTGCGTGTGTGTGTGCGGCAGGGGTGTGTGTGTGCGGGAAGCAGCGCGGCGGGGCTTGGAGTGGGCATGGCTTCCGCAGAGGGAACGTTGGCCGGAAGGCTGTGTGCGCGCACCAGGGAACTTGCGGCTGAGCGCCAATGCGCATGCTCAGTTGTTTTGCCGTTTTATGGGTGTGTTGTTGTGTTGTTTTTCATTTTGAGTAGATATGTTTGTACCTTGTGGGTTGTGTTGTGGGCATGGGAATTTTGGTTAAGTTTCGTTGGGGTTTTTTAGAGTTTTTGCTGTCCAGTTGGACTCGCCTAACATATATAGATGCTCATTGTTAGCTTTGTAATTATGCAGTTTGCCCCATTAGAAAATGCCTACCCGGATAATGCTGGGTACCTAATCCTTGCTTTCTGTGCACTGCCCTCTTGTGGTTGCACCTAAGCACTGCATACATATCTATAGGCCTGTAACTATTCTTTTCTATCTGTAACTTGCATTTTTTTTTACTTTTGTCCCAAAATGGGGTGGGTTATTTTAAGCTGGGGAATGAAGTGCCTGTGTGCCAAGTTTGGTCCGGATCCCTCCAGCCATGGAGAAGCCTTTGTGGGACAAACACACAAACAAAAACCTACATAAGTGGCTGGGGGGGGGGAGGTAAAGGAGCAAAGGACCTGAGGCTATTAGGAATGGTGGGAGTTGAACACCTGGAGGGCTCAAGTTTGCCCATGCCTGGTATAGAGATATATGGGAATGTGCTTGAAATAACCAATTCCCCTTTGCTTGTGCTGGCATCAAACCCCTTTGGTCTCTAAAGCCTCGCATTGAGCTGATTTCCTCTTTTCTGTTGACTCACAAATCCTGAGCATAATTTTGCATCCGTTTGATAGATTTCTAGGTCACCTAGTCTGTTTTCCATCCGCAAGCAGGAAAAAGGGGGGAAAGGATAAAGGAGGCGTCTGTTCGTTTCATTTAAGGAATTCTTCCAATATTCCTTGAGAAATCATCGTCTTTTCTGTATTCACTCTTTCTGACATGCTTTCCAGGTATTGCACAGGTGGATTCTCTCAGGAATAATAGTCTGGTGTTCGTCTATAGGCTTCCATGAAGACAAAGCTATTTCTTTTTCTTTAGGATCTCTGTTAAAAAAGGTCTATTTTAGCTTTCATTTTGGTGCTGTTAAAAACATGTGAGGGAAGGGCAGGTAATACAATATTATTATTATTATTTGATACACAACAAGAAGAGTTAATTAATTAATTTAATACAATATTATTATTTTTATTGTATTAATATACAATATTATTCTATACACAACAAGATATATTATTATTATTTGATATGCAACAAGACGAGTTAATTAATTAATTTAATACAATATTATTATTATTATTTGATACACAAGATATATTATTATTATTTGATACGCAACAAGATGAGTTAATTAATACAATATTATTATTTGATACACAAGATATATTATTTTTATTTGATACACAACAAGATGAGTTAATTAATTTAATACAGTATTATTATTTGATACACAACAAGATGAGTTAATTAATTAATTTAATACACAGATATATAAACCCTTTTTCCTAGTTCCAACAGACCTCACTACCTCTAAGGATGCTTGCCATAGATGCAGGCGAAACGTCAGGAGAGAATGCCTCTAGACAATGGCCATATAGCCCGAAAAAACCTACAACCCAATATTATTATTATTTGATACACAACAAGATATATTATTATTATTTGATATGCAACAAGATGAGTTAATTAATTTAATAGAATATTATTACTATTTGATACACAACAAGATGAGTTAATT